CATCATAGGGCTTCCTGCTGGTGGGATCATGGGGGGATGAATCACTGGGAAGAGGGCTGGGAGATGTCAGCAGGTGATGGAGAAAAGCTCTCAGTCTTCCCACCACGCAGTAAGGACACTGGTCACATACAGTGTCCCGTCTGCAGAGGTGACAAACCACAGCCACCTTTGGGATGACACGCAAAGAGGACAAGCACGTAATGTGGCATTCCCAGAATAGTCACAGCCTCCACTGGCTTGTGGCTAAGGGACTGCTCAAGGTTTGTCCCTTCGAACCCCTGCAGACAGCTTGCCCTAATGCCACCCCACAGCAATGCAACCTTCTCCCATGGCCTTGAGGCTGCTGCTCTTGATGTCCCACCATGCTCCCAGCGAGAGCGAGCTGGGTCTTCTCTGCACCGATTTAACACCAAGCCACAGCAGCCACGTGCATGCCAGCAGCAAAGAGTGAAAAGATGCTGGTGTGGGGGAAAAAAACTCTACTCCAGCAGCTAAAAAGCCCTCTAAAACCCTAAAATATCCCCTGAACCCACATGAGTGCAGAGAGCGAGGCTGTCAGCTGCTAAGGCTGAGAGAGCCCTGGTAATGCAGTGGTGAAAAGATTTAGAGGAAAGTCAATATACTTCAAGGGAAAATAAATGTCTGTGGACACATTTGCTCCAGGCGCAGACTCGAGCTCGCTGTGGCTTCATGCTTTGCTGTCTTGAGGAGGAGCTGGACAGCAGTGCTCCATAGAGAAACCAGATGTGCAAGAGTAGGCAGGCTCCAGATGAGGAAGGCTGCTGTGGTTGTCTCTGTCCACCGAGGGACAGTTTGCTGCCACCTTAGGGTCTGTCAGCCCAGCTGAGGAGCTCAATCACAACCCCTGTGAGTGCTATGGGTTGGTGGGAGCTGGCTTGCTTGGGTGCCCACTGCAGCCTAACGGAGAAGAGCACTATCTCCTCCTGGCCAAGGCCTCCAGGAGCAAACTGGTGGCTAAGTCAATGCTGTAATAACTGCGCAGATGGCTCTGTTTCACACTTGGGATGTACTGGAGTAAGCAACCCTTGTTGCCAAAAGGAATTTGCAAACAAAGAACGGAGCCAGTGTTGCTGGCAACCATGACCCAGTCTGGGTAGCAGTTGCTTTGCAGATGTGCAGTGGTGGCATCGCATCTTGTTTCCTCCGAAAAGTTGCACCACTTCATGAACTGGAACATCCACAAAGGCACTTCAGATGGAGGAGGAGATGACCCTTGGGCTCTTGTGAACTCATTGCTGCATCTCTTCATCAGAGATGTTTGGGTTCATTGACCACCCACAATGGCAAAGAGAGGAAGAGAAAAATGACAACGCACCACGTCACTTATGGGAGGTCCAGGCGCAGCTGGGACAGTTCAGCTGGACAGCAAGAACTCACTGACCAGCACTTACCAGAGCATCTGAGGGCAGACCAGTGCTCCAGGTAGGAGCTGCCCAGTTATGGGGACCAGAGCAGCACCCAGGAGGTACACCTAGAAAGGCAGCAGCAGAGGGACAGCAGAGTATAGCAGAAGTATCTCCACCATGTCAAAAAGCCGGTGAGTGTTTCCCATGGGGAACGACTCTATTATCCCCAGTGGAAGGATCACAGGGACAAATGATGCTCTGGATTGAGCAGGGGAAACCTCTTCCAGACGGAGCACTTACAAGTGCCAAGATTAAGAGGAAGGAGCTGTATCTCAGGAGCATCTACCCTTGAGTCCCACTTCAGTGTTACAGACCTATGGTGAAGGCAGCAGCTCAATACAGAGAGAAGGAGAGAAACCCTCATTCCAAGTGGCCATAACACCAAAGGGCAAGCACTACAGCAATGACACATCTCTCCCAACAGCAGCCAGCTTCCCGTCTACCTCCCACCTCTGAGGTGGCCCTGGCCTTGGAGGCGAGCCGGGGACAGCTTAGCGCTCAGGGACATGGCTGGATTAGTCTCTCTGGTATGAAACAACTGTGGTTGGCTCTTCCTCCATCAAGAACTGGGGAAGAAAAAGGAAAACAACACCCCTTCCTGCCATCTGGATTGCTAGACGACACAAGCCGAAACATGTGTGCCATATGTACACAGCTGCGCAGCGCAGGGATGCCGCTGTCAGCCCATCTGCCCCGCACGCTGCGTGCCAGTCACTCACCCTGGGGTGGGCTGCCGAGATGGGGAGGGTGCCCTGCATGGCTTCCCCTTCTCCTCCTCCTCACCAGGCATGGATGGGCTCCTTTCCTACAAGCACTAGGGTTTTATCCCATGCATACCAGCAAGGGTGGGCATCTCCAGTCCCACGCATCCAAACAGGGTGGGGAAGGGGATGATAACTGCATGGGTGCTGGGTACCGGTGGTTGAGTAGGGCTCCACATCCAGCACCCAACCCCTTCCCAAAGGGGCTGGAGCCGGCTGTGTGCAAGCACTGCGCTCTCCCGTGCTCCTCTCCCGCCTGTCTGCAGGGAGGTATCAGTTTCAGTGCCTCAGGAAAAGCCTCCCAGCTGCTTAAGGGCCTGATACATGATGACAAGGAGGGGACGGAGGACTAACTGAGGAACAAGTAAACCAAGGTCTGTGGCTGTTGCCACACGGGGGTTGCCTCCCGCATGGGGAGGCATGCCCCCTGCTCAGGGATGTGAAAAGCTAATGCTTACCCAAAGCAAAAGAAAGATTCCCTATTGCATTTCCCTCCTCAAACACACCTCTCCACGCCCCTGCTTCTCGCTGGACATGACCGAATGCAACGTCCTCTCATCTGATCCGATCCAAACCGCTCCTCACAGACCCCTTCCGCCAGCACCGGTGCGAATGATTTGAGTGACAAGCCAGCGCCGTGCGTATGTTCCATGAAGCTGACTGTCACCTGATGTCACGTACAGCACCAAGCACGCCGCTGGCAGCCCAACAAGAAATGAATGCAAATGTCATCCAATGATGGTGGGGACAGCCAGCCCACCCCTCAGCAAATTGCTAAGAAGACCTCGCAGCAAGCGTTTCCCAGAGAATGATTCCTTTCTCTCTGCAGCGTGAATACAGCTCTGCCTGTATGCTCCTGTGCTGACCCTGGAGAACGGCTTTCATGGGAAGAGAGGACAGCAACTTGTTCTCCAGGCTCTTTGTGCTCCCAGCTGAGTCCAAGGCTGAAATGATTTATGAAGGCAGGGCCAAGGCCAGGAATCTGAGGCTTTTCAAGAGTTGCCCATTTCCCAAAAGAGTGCTGCTTTAATTTGTTGCTTGCCTGACTTCTGCTTGAGGCTCAGCCTGGAACAGGATTGCCAGTGATTTGGGAAATCAGTGCTACTTCCCCTTGCGGTTTTGGTGGTGTAGATGTCTGTCCATGGAGAATTAGGCTGACACTTCCAAGCGTGTTACACAGTCGCCAAACAACCAAGATATGGAAGCAGCTTAAAGAAACAAGATATATCAAGTCTGGAGTTTGCATCTACAAGGGACAGCCTCTCAGCACCAGAGGGACAGCATCCAGCGTGGGCTGGATTACCGTGATTATAACAGAAGCTGTCAGATCCCACCACCGTGCGGTGATTTAAAATGCTCTGATTTAGATGCTCGTTGGCAATTCCCTTCTGACATACAGTCCTAGTCTTAGCTGAGGTTGGGGCTGGAAGTCTGTTTGCAGCAGATGACAGGGAAGGATTAACTCTTGGGGTGCAGCTACCCAACACACAGCAGTCAATGAGAGGGGCATCATGCAGGAGATAGGAACAAGCAGAGCTCCTCTAAGCAGGAATCAGGATTGAGTCTTAAGGTCCCCTAGGGAATGGGTTGGATAAGTAATGTCTGAAAGATGGTAGCCAAAAGTCTGAGTGTGTGAGCCCCCTGCTAGCAAAGCGTGCTGCTCCCACTGGGCTGGAGGGACCATCCTGGGAGAGGTGATGCTCAGCATCACTCACCATTAGATCCATTTGCAGCTCACAGCCTCCAAGCCCTGTGCACCTCCTCCTGTCTACACACCTGGGATAGTCCCACCAGCATACTGGAAAGGCAGAAAAGCTGGGACAGCTGGGCTTGCATAGTGTGACAGCACATCTTTGTCAGTGAGCTGTTACAGGGTGCCTACACACAGAAGGAAGCACAGGGCTGATGACAGTGGCCAGGGCACTCATTTATCCTTCTGGAAAAGATACAAGAACCTTGTGGCTTCTCCAGATCAAACCTCACCTTCCATAAAGGTAGGAAGGTGAGGGAGGGATTTTGTCCAGAACCTTCATTTACCTTTCAGGAGGTTCACCCTGCCAGTGAGAACACATCTATTACCCTTCACAGGAGACCACAAGCATTTTCAAGACCTCTCAACAAGGAAGCCCAGCACCACACATACTTCAAGCACACACTACTGTAAAAACCTTGGGAAACTAACTGGGACCACAACTGAACTCTGCTATCCCGAGCAGACAGAGGACACACAGAAAGTTTCAGAGGTGGCCGCAGGAACCTCAAAGACCCTGACACAAAAGTCAACAGGACTTTGCTACTGCCCAAATTCCAGGTGATCCCCTTGAGCGAGCCCACCCCAGCAGCAGAGCTGCAAGTACACGTGCTCTCGGTACCAGAGCATCACCCAGCTCGCGGCGTGGCCAAGTGCCTCTCTGCACCCGCTGTTTTCACTCGGAGGGCTTTCTCTGTTCCGTTTTCATTTCCCACCCCTCCATGCAGTTCTCTCTCCGGGATGATGGGGGGGAAGTCCGAAAGTTCCTAACTGCGAGCAAATTAAAAGCCCTTATTTATTTATCTTGAGTGTTAGCATACTTGCAGGGCTGGTACTTCCAGGCATTTTGAACCGACTTCCCCTTCTGTCAGGCGTCCACTCCGGACTCCTGCCTTTAACCCACGCTGACCTCAGCGCAGAGCAGCCGCCGACAGGGAACGCGGGGCGGAAGGCGGTGGTGGGCGGGGGTGTGTGTGTGTGTGTGCTATTTGCCCAGCGATGCCCTTCGCCATCCGCGCACCCTTTACGCGCCCGTCCCGCGGGGGTGCGGGCGGCAGGTACCTGCTTGCGCAGCGCCTCGAAGGCGGCGCTGATGGTGTGGACGCGGGTCCTCTCCCGGGCGTTGGCCAACAACCGCCGCGTCTGCTGCAGGGCTTTGATCTCCGGAGAGACTCCGGACGCCTCGCCCGGCCGCGGGCGCGGGGAGGCGGCGGGCGGCGGCGGCGGCGGCGGCTGCTGCGGTGGCGGCGGCGGCGGGGCGGCGGGGAAGGCGCTGGCGGCGATCGCGGCGCTGCGCGGCTGCCAGGCGGGCGGCGGTGCGGCGGGGGGCGGCGCGGGGTGGCTGTGGTTGTGGTGCGGGGCGCGGAGCCCCGTCCTCCTCCCGCTGAGCACTTTGAGCTCCACGCGGAAACTTTTGCAGCCGTGCTTGCGCCGCAGCCGCCGCAGCCCCCCCAGCTCGGCGGGGCACAGGCGCGGCCAGGGCTCGCCTTCGGTCAGCGGCGTGCTCCGCATGGCGCGGAGCGCTCAGCGCCGCCCGCTCGGCCGCTCCGCTGCTGCTGTTGCTGCCGCCTCGCTGCTGCCCATCTGCGCCGCAGCGGGCTCCGTCCGTGTGTCCGTGCGTCCGCGGCTCCCAGCGCCGGCAGCCGGCCCGCCGCGCCGATGAGCGGCTTTAAAGAAACAGGAAGGCTGGGCTTCTTTTTTTTTTTTTTTTTTTTTCTCTCTTCCCAAAACAGCTGTGCTGCCAATCTCCTTTGTTCATCCCCCCCGCACCCCCCCTTCCCTTCCCTCCCCTCCCACCCCACTCCCACTTTCTTCTTTAATCTCGCTTTTCCATGCGATGGAAGAGAAATCCTGCCCCCCGGAGACTCGCCGCGACCCACCGTGTGCGCTTCCCTCCCACCTCCCCCCACTCCGCTTTGCCTCCCCAGGGAAATCCGTGATTTGCTTTGGTTTCCAACCCGTCTTCATCCCGTTTCTCCCCTCCTATCGCTTGTTCCCCCCCCCCCCAAATCAAGATCCTCATCTGCGAGGCGGGGGGTGCCTGACTTCACGTTGCCTTCCCAAATGTCCCTGGGAGCAGCGAGGGCAGCCGGCGGGATAGATAGGGAGCCGGGGCAGCTCCAACATCTCCCAGATATCCCTCCCGCTGCTGCTTCGCCTTCGGCTGCTGCTCTGCCAGCGGCTTTGGATCTGCTTGGAAGAAGTGTTCTGCAGCAAAGGGGCTGCCCTGTTTTCCACAGGGATAACAAGGGAGCCCGGATGTGTGGGTAATTCCTACCAGCCCTGGGCTGCTTTCTGCCTGCATCCCAAAACCCCCTTAACTCCTCTTGCTCCAACATGCTGTCCCAGTGTGGCAGGGCCAGGGGTCTCAGCAGAGCAGGAGGGAGGGAGGGATGGAGAGATGCAGGGACTTGCCTCTGGTCACAGTCAGAGCTGTGGCACGTCTAGGGATAAACTGCATTTCACAGGGTTGTAGGAAAACTCAGGACAGAAGGACCTCAGGAGATCTGTCAGTTTTAACAGTATCTCTGTTATTGAGGCTTCTGTTCTTAAGTCACCTAAACCCCTTAGACACGAAGTCATACTGAAAATCAATGGGGTGTAAGCCCTGAGATGCTTGAGTTCACTGAAGAGAAAGGGATGTTGGTTCCTAACCTGCTCCTCCCGTGGCATGTCACCCTGGCAGCCACCAGCGCTACATGGGGTGGGCAGAGGGAGCTTCTAGTGACCAAGGTGAGGTCCATGAAGCAAGACAAGCTCTGCCTGATGGCTGATGTCCTCTGCTTTGTGCTACTGTGGCCAGGCTGCCCCAAAGCAGACACAACAAGGTGGAGAAACTAGAGGTACCAGAGATAGTACTAGAGAAGATGCTGGGTCCCAGGTCAGCATCACCCCCTGCCTGTGGTGGTGCTGGCAAACTGCTCTGATATCCTCACCTAGAGCCTCTGAATTATTGCTGCTAGTGACAGAGCATGCCCTAATGGCCCTTTTCTCCATCTTTTGTCTCCAAGTTCCTCTAACTCGCAAGGGTGAGAGCCAACAAAGGGGTTTTTGGTTATCCTGGTTTCTCCCAAGTGTCCCAATGAGGGGCAGTGGCACTAGGCCCTCCAGCAGCATCTGTCTTTCAGTGGAAGCCTACGTTAAACACTTGGTGCCTCTTCTCACAAGAGAAGGAGGATTAAGCCCAAGATCTTGGCCAAACTTCAGTCTTATCCATTAAATGCTGCCTACTTAAAATCCTCCTGCTGTTCCAGATTGACTCCATGGACCAAATCCATTTACCAGGGGGTAAATAGATGAAGCTCTTTGAAAACAAAATCATTTTCAGCCACTTACACCATTTGTTTTTCACATCTTGCCCTTAAGGCTCATGTATTTTCTGGGTGCTGGTTATGTAGCTGCTCCCTTGGCGGTGGTTGTATTACGGAGTGCTTCCAAGAAGAAACCTAAACCTGAGTGTCCCCAGTCACATAACTGCCTGTCAGACCTTCCTCTTCTCTGCTTTTAGTATCCTCGTGGTTATGGGCATCACGGGAGAGCTGGGGAGGCCCAAATCAGGCTGAGTCACCACGGTCCTTGTCCCTCAGGGTGACGCACTGTGTGGTGCACACAGTCCGTCCCCCTCTGTGTCCTGTTTGCAGACAATACAGCAACGACAGACGCTGAGTAGATGCAAACCTGCTCTGAGTGCATGAACCTGCTTTCATTTCATTAGTAGAATTAGTGCAAGCTGCCTGAGGACTCTCTTATATCATAGAATCACAGAATCACAGACTGGTTTGGGTCGGAAAGGACCTTACGATCATCCAGTTCCAACCCTCTACCGTGGTCGGGGATGCCTCGCATTAGACCATGTCACCCAATGCTCTGTCCAACCTGGCCTTGAACACTACAGGGATGGAGCATTCACCACTTCTTTGGGCAGCCTGTTCCAGTGCTTCAGCACTCTCACAGTAAAGAACTTCTTCCTTATATCTAACCTGAAGTTCTCTTGTTGAAGTTTAAACCCATCACCCCTTGTCCTATCGCTACAGTCCCTGATGAAGAGTCTCTCTCTGGCAACCAATCATCTGATTGAGTTGCTCCTTTTCACCTTAGAGGTGGTTGAACATAAAACTTACTTGAGACTAAACTGAAGGGAGAGGTTTAAACTCCAATGAAAAGGCCCAATACAACCTCTTCTACCAGCTGAAAGTTACTCTTTCAGTTAAGCAAGGATGAGTTTCCTGCAGAGTAAATCCTGCCCTTCACAGCACAAGCCACAGTAGCCCCAGAGTCACTGGCACGCTTTCCACACGCAATGGAGGTGGGCAGTGATGCCTAAGGTCACAGACATCACCTTAACTCTGCAAATTAAAGCAAGTGGGGCCGTGCTGGCATCAGTATTCAGGTTAGGAGCAGCATGGCCTTGTGCCATGCCACTGGAGCAGCACACCTTTCGGGACTGAATGCAACAGCATCTCCAGGCAGTGCTGGCTGCTCTGGGCCATATGGATGCAGGAGCTCATTCTATGCACCAAAATGATGGCATGAGGTAGAAAACGGAGGGAATCGCCTGCAGAGTAAAGGAGCATGGTTGTGAGTTGTAGTGAAGCTTCTGACCTTTCCTTCCTGCAGACCACTTTGTGTCAGCCCTGTCTGCACTCAGAGTTACATCATTTTAGCAGTGCTGCAGTGTCCTGCAGCATAGATGCAGGTCAGGGAGGTACTTGCCCTAAACTGGTCTCTGGGTGAAACACCTCAGTGGGTATCAGTCTGCTCTGCTAAAAGTTAATGTGGTTGAAAGAAATGTATGTTCAGACAATATACCTTTTAAAAGGATAAATAAGTAGAAAGGAAAAGGAAATGGTAGCAATAGATTGTCAAGATTTAGTGGGAGGTGCAGTCTAGGGTGTTTGAAAGGGGCAAAGATGTGCTGCAGGTGGGTGCCAGGGAGGTGTCTCCAAAGCAGAGCCCAAAGGACAGGACTTCTTCCCTAGGAAAGCATCCTGAGCATCTCTGACAGGTGCTTCAGCTGGTGACAGCTTTGTACACTCTGCAAAACATAGCACACTTCCAACCCCTGTGATAAAACAGAGCTCTGCGCTTGTACAAAGGAACATCTACTCTCTTGTGCGCTTTCCAACATCCTCAGGCAAGAGGAATTACTTTAAAACACTGTTGAAGAGCAAAAACCTAAAGTCTGATTGCAAGTGACAGGCTGAGTATATCAATGTGAAGTTGAGTCATCAAAGTGAGATTGAGTCACAGCCTTGAGCCTTCTTCTTTCAACGTTTCAATGTGTGTCGTGTACTCTGACATTATCATTAGGAGCTTGACAGCATTGGAGTCTTTCTTGGGAGCTAAAAAAACACAGTGTGTGTTTTGAAGCGTGGAAGATAGAAGAAAGGAGAAGAGGAGAACTTTTCTCTTTCTCTGCCATAAAAATTCCATCAGGAGCACATTCTTGTATTGTGAAGTATTTAAACAACAACAACAACAAAAAGGAATCAAGAAAAAGCTTGGCAGGATTAAAGTTTGTCCAGTCCCAAATCTGGGGAAAAAAGAAAGAGAAAAAGAAGAATTAAAAAAATGCAGTGTTTTTATAGTTCTATGAAAAATGCTTCTTAAAAAGCAGCAATTGGAGAATATAGGCAGAAAAGGAGAGAAAAACTGAGGAAAAGCTGCTGAACACATGTCTATTATTAGTGAAGAGAAGAGAAATTTCTGCAGCATTAGGAAAACCCTGTAGCATTGCTAAGTACCCATAAAATGTACAGTGGGAGTTGCAAGAACCAGTGAAGTTGGTGGTCTCTCACCAGTGGGGGTTTTTAAAGCTATTTGGAGACTTGGCGAATGTGCATGGGCAGGATTATAGGATAGTGCTCTTGGATCATATGAAACTGAGGAAGGATAGTGAAATGAGGTAAGAAATGAGAATTATTCACACCCAGTGTACATTGGAGACGTATCTGTCATTGACTTCAAACTGAATTTCTTTTTAAATGCTTGGGTTTTTTACTTGACACAGTCCATATGCACTCAGAGGGAAAAGTGCTAATGACAGTCTGCAGCTTAAGGTTATTCTCTAAATGATTACATTTAATCCTCCTCTCCTCTCCTCTCCTCTCCTCTCCTCTCCTCTCCTCTCCTCTCCTCTCCTCTCCTCTCCTCTCCTCTCCTCTCCTCTCCTCTCCTCTCCTCTCCTCTCCTCTCCTCTCCTCTCCTCTCCTCTCCTCTCCTCTCCTCTCCTCTCCTCTCCTCTCCTCTCCTCTCCTCTCCTCTCCTCTCCTCTCCTCTCCTCTCCTCTCCTCTCCTCTCCTCTCCTCTCCTCTCCTCTCCTCTCCTCTCCTCTCCTCTCCTCTCCTCAGCTTAAAGAGGGGCTGTAACAGTGATCCAAGGTCTGAACAATATGTGTTGGCAGTGTATCTCAGCAAAGAACAAAGCGTGAGGTGCTCATGGCCCATTCACATCGCTGCTGCTCAGTCGCTTTCTAGCCCATCAGAAAGAAGTGCAACAATTTCCAGAGGCAGAGCAAATGAGGCTTGTGATAAGAGCTATGTAGTTATGCTGAACATAACAATCTTTGCAATATATTACCTAAAGGACTCTGTGCTGCTTGAATTCTGTAAGCAAAAGCTGGACATCTTTTAAAAGTATGTTATGGTTTAAGCTGTGGACTTGCTGCAGGAGTTGTGGTATGAATTTATGTGGAAAGCTGGGCTAAATGC